TGAGGGAAGCCTTCCTGGGTTCTGCCATCAAACACGGAAATATCAGAACTGACTCACTCTCAGTCGATCCAGTTGTCTGTTTTTTCATGGAATATTCCGATGCCCAAGGTGACCACCTTTAGGAAGAATATCAGATGCATGCTCCGCATCCCGTGGGTCATGCTGAGGGACCTGATGCGGCGATAGTCCTGTTGCCATCCTCCATTGAAGCCATTGTACCAGGACCTTGTACAATCGGACACTCCAACACCAGAAGGCTCTCCACCTCAGGTCTTCGGCCTTGTATGACCAAGTCATGTGGCTTTCGGATAAAACTTGTCTAGAACTTCATTGATGACATATGGAGAACCGGAATAGCAAGGCGACTTTCAGACCGCAACTAGATTTCATCCTGGAATCCGATGCCAGCTGCATGGGCTGGGTTGCTACTTGCGATGGCGTGGCGACTGGTGGACTCTGGAGGAGAGAGCTCCTCACGTCTACTGTCTGGAACTAACTGCAGGTTCTTTCGCCATTTGCAGCTTCCCCTGGGGAAGAATTACTGCTCGCTGTCTCCCTGCATGGACAACATCCTAACTGTCCAGTCCGCAGTCAGATCTCATGTAGGATCTCTATCAAGACTGTCTGGACAAGAATTTGATACTTGTGGCAGAATATCTCACGGGACGAGACAATCATGTAGCGGACAAGTTATCCCGACAATGGAGAGGCGCTAACGATTGGCTACTTCACCTTCTGGTGTTTCAAGTACTGGACTCGCTCCGAGTCCCCCTTCACTCAGATCTGATTGCATCCAGGGTGAACCTTCAAACAGATTGGTTCTTCAGTTGGCCTCTGGACCCATCAGCGAGGTGGTGGCCGTGTTTTCGAAGACTGGCCTCCCTCGGGGGCATATGCGTTCCCCCTTTTTCTTCTTCTATGGATTACTTCAGACAGTGTTGTTTCTCCTGGTCACACCACTTTGGAGGAGTCAACCGTAGTTCCCTCTCTTGCTGGAGAAGAGAGGCTCTCCAGAACTGTTTCTGCACCTTCGCTCGCTCATTGGATTTGGTGGTTTCTCTCATCAGCTGGTATTGGTGAGTTCCTTTGGGACACATTTGGTGCAGGGCGCTGCAGCTTCAGCTAGAAGCCAGTGGGTACCTTCTGGATTTTTCTCTGCACCACTGATTGGTCTGGGAAATCGACTTTCCGTTCCTTTTATTTCCATCCTCGAGCTCATGTTTTTTGTTTTTATGTTTGGGTGTTAAAATTGCAAATATGAAGCCTCCTGTCTTGCCATAAAATTAGGGATTATTCTAGCCTCAATGAGGAATAATAATATTAAAGACAGGAGATGAATATTTCCCCCCTTTTTTACGTTTCCCTCCCTGGATTTTTTTTTTTTTTTTTTTATCTCTTATGATTAATTCGGGATTTTGTTATGTTTTTGTACATGCATGGTCTTGCATAATAAAGATTATTTCTATTATACGGTGGTGTTTGACCGTGTGCGTTTTATTCATCATGTACTATGCAAGTAATAGTGTATTGATCTGACTAGGGGTGCACCGAAAGTATCGGCCGAAAATGGACCTAATCCATTTCGGCCGATATTGGCACATATCTGCAGAAAATTGGGCATTGGGATTTGTCACCCAGTACTTCACCATGCCGCACTGGTACCACTGCAAATGTCCTGCGCTCTATCCTATTTGTGACAGGACCGCACACTGCCGCTGCGCAACCTTGTAACCGGAAGTGAAAGCAGTGGAGCAGCCTGCTGCAAAACTATCCACATCACCAGCGGTAAGTAATTAAATTTAATAAAATGTATTTATTATTTATTTTAGTATTTTCTCTTCTTTTGTTCTTAGTCTGGTGTTATTTGAGTGAAGTGATTGCCCTGCTGTGCATCTCGACCGATGGCTGTGATCAGTCATCGGTCTATTTTAAGTACAGGAGGCTAATTCTGTCTTAGATGGCCTCCAGGAAGATAAAGTGTATGCTCCTGCCCTAACGATTTCCGCGCCTATCCAACATTTTGTAATAGCCGTTTCTGAAAATAGTGTCAAGACTAGTCCTTGCTCTCAGACTCAAATGTAAATGTAATTAATAATATTATATTATATGTAGCCGGGTGACACTAGGGTGATCCCTAGACCATTTGATTGAATAAAGAAATACACTTTAAGAAACCTATCCACATCCATTTATTAATTATATTCTGCACGTGCCAATCTGCCCAAAGTGCTTTCTTCAAGTCCCTAGTCCACATTTCTAAATCTTTATTATTAATAAATATTATTATTCATTAATATATTATGATTATTGGTATGTCATTTATAGAAAAAAAATGAGCTATTCCAGGAGCTGGTCAGATTGAAATATGTATAAAACTCAGGTGAAACAACCGGAGTTTTATATATATTTGAATTGCCAGCTGATATTTATTGAAGTTTTACTCTGTTTATTTCAATCTGACTAGCTCCTGAAATAGAAAAAAGATAAAAAAGGTTAGCGCTAATAATAAAAATGTAAATAAAGGCAGCAACCTTATAGGGGGTCACCCTCTAACCCTCTACAGTAAGAGTGTACACAAGGAAAAACAAAGAATAAGGCTGCGCCAAGAGAGTAAAAAAACAAGTCCAAATTAGAAAAATGTTCTAATAAGAAAGTCCCAGTAATGGATGGTGTCTTAACTGGTATGGCGTCTTCTTTAACAATGGTCGTCCGTCTCACGATATGGAAGACACAATGAGAAAAAGCCAATTGTGCAGAGTGTATAAATTAGTAATTGTAAAATAAAATATAAATTACACACTCACGTTTCCATGAGCTAGAACCAGCTCTGGTATGATAGGCACACGGCGGATAACCCTCCGCTTATGGGGGTGCTTGTCCTCTTGAAGAGTCCTGGTGTTCAATTCTCAAGGAAAGAAAATAAAAACAGCCAATAGTGCTCTCTGGTGAGGTAGTTGTTAAAAAAAAAATAATTAAATAAAATATACTCACAAATAGAGTGCAGGTCAATCTGCACTCAATTATTCGCGTGGGTGGTATGATATGCCAGGAACAATATGTAAAGTTGGAAATAGTAATAAGAATAGATAATAGATAATATAAAATTATTTATTGATACAATATTTAAAACCAATAACGCGTTTCGCCAAGAGGCTTTATCAAATTGGAAGGGGCTTTATCAAATTGATAAAGCCTCTTGGCGAAACGTAATAACTTTACATATTGTTCCTGGCATAGCCTGAGGTGGGGATCATACCACCCACGCGAATAATTGAGTGCAGATTGACCTGCACTCTATTTGTGAGTATATTTTATTTTTTTTTATTTTTTTTTAACAACTACCTCACCAGAGAGCACTATTGGCTGTTTTTATTTTCTTTCCTTGAGAATTGAACACCAGGACTCTTCAAGAGGACAAGCACCCCCATAAGCGGAGGGTTATCCGCCGTGTGCTTATCATACCAGAGCTGGTTCTAGCTCATGAAAACGTGAGTGTGTAATTTATATTTTATTTTATAATTACTAATTTATACACTCTGCACAATTGGCTTTTTCTCATTGTGTCTTCCATATCGTGAGACGGACGACCATTGTTAAAGAAGACGCCATACCAGTTAAGACACCATCCATTACTGGGACTTTCTTATTAGAACATTTTTCTAATTTGGACTTGTTTTTTTATTACTCTCTTGGCGCAGCCTTATTCTTTGTTTTTCCTTGTGTACACTCTTACTGTAGAGGGTTAGAGGGTGACCCCCTATAAGGTTGCTGCCTTTATTTACATTTTTATTATTAGCGCTAACCTTTTTTTATCTTTTTTCTGTTTTTTATCTATATCCCTCTGGTTTTAGCTGCTTTTAATATGTCTATTTTTGAGTACAGAAGTAATCATTCTATTGATATTGACAATGTTTTTTCACATCAAACTATGAGTCCCATATATGTAAGGCCTCCTATATTTACCCAGCAAGAATTGTTTATCAAATTAGAAAAAGCTTTAACAACAGAAATTAAATTAAAATGGGAAATTGCTACATTCAAAAAATATATAGAAGAACGCATAACACCTCGAGGCCTGAGGCTTATGAAACTACCTACCTCAGACCAAGATGATATTGAATTTATGAACGAGTGGAACAATAAGTTAGAAACTTGTACATTCGGCCTCATGGATACGTTAATGAAGAAAAAAAGCAAAAAATTATCTAGTCTTGATAGAGAAATTAATGACCTCAGAGAAAAACTTATGCCCTTCACAGAAAGTAATGTGTATCAACAAAATTCAGTTTTAATTCAAAGTAAAATCGAAAAAATAGAAACAGACACCAAGCACATTAAAGTTAAAAAGTATGTCAGAGATAAGCAAGATTATGCTAATCGACAGGTTAGAACATATCATCTGAACAAAAGATATATGGCTGACAATTCACATGCCAATACAAGGACAGAGTCTCACCAATACCAAAGAGCTACTATACACAATGCACGGCACGAATCCTCATATACAACTAAAAATCACTCCTCTATTCCTCACAAATCTTTTCACCATTCTCCCTATAGACCCAAACCTCACTACAAAAACCCAAATTCTCACTATGCTCCTTTACCCTATCACCGTCCATCTTCATACATACCACGGAAGATTCCATACAAAACATCCAATTACCAGGACTCCTCTAATCGTTATTACAATTCTCACAGT